GGGCTGCCCGCCTTCCGCCAGGCCCAGCCCGGCCGCGACCTCCTCGAGGACTTCCAGCGCCGCGAGCCCTACAAGTACCTGCAGTTCGCCTACTTCAAGGTGAGGCCCGGCCCTTCATCCCGTCCCATCGCTCTGCCCTCCCCCGCCTCTGCCCCTCCCCGGCCCCCCGAAGTCTTGCCTGGTGCAGTGCCGCCCTCCAGCCAAGCAAGCCAAGCCAAGTGTGCCTGTCGGCGACAGCCAGAGGTGTCGCGATGGAGGGGGGACAGCATGGTGTGTCCCTCCACAGCCTCAATGGAGGTGGGTGCCCCGTGCACCCGGTGCTGGGAAAGCCTCCTCTTGTGCCAACCTCTCGCCCGGCCCTCAGAGCAGGTGACTCGGGGCCGTGGCCTCATTCCCCATCACCTTCTCCACGCTGGTTTAGCCACCAGTTGGCGTCTGCCCCACCTCGTTTCTCCCCCTCTATCCATGGTCAGGACGCCCAGTCGCTGCCCACCCTGCACATCATCATCTTCTCCCTGGCAAGTCTTTCAGCCCCTTCCTCCCACCCACCTCGTGTGGCCCACAGTGGGACCACCGTGTGCCTTGTCTTCCCCCTGCTTGCCCACAAAGTGCTGTCCATCCAGCTCGCTCTTCACCAGTTTTTCCACAAGTCATCAAGCACATCCCCTCGATTAGCCCCTCCAGGTCTTCCCAAAACCCCAGCCACCGGACCCTGCCTCCTTTCCTGTAGCTGTGCTGTTCCTACCCCTGCCCCTCTCGTCCTTCCATTGGCATTACTTTCTTCTAACCTTCTCTGAAACTTTTTTCAGTCCCTTCATGTCACTGCTCCTGCTATTGCAAGCACTCTTCGCCACTTCCTCTCTCTCTCAGTGAGTCCATCTTCCTCGCTTGCTCTCTTCTGGTCCAGTTCTTTCAAGTGCAGCAGCCCCCAGCCTGTGATAGCCTGTGATGCCTGCAAAACTCCAATTTTGTTACAGCTGCGGGAAGGAATAAAGTGAAAACTGGCTGCTGAAGTGTGATGCTAATGCTAGCCCTGGAATGGTATTTACTTTTTGTTCTTGGGTTAGCCAAGACTTGGGGGGGGGGCACCTCTTTTAACCAATTTAATCTCTTTTTTCTAGCTTCTTGTCATCCTTCTGTCCAGCATCTAATTGACGATTTTCTCCCCTCTCCTCATCTTCATCTTCTGTTCTCTAAATCAGGGTCTGTCCCTCATGCCATCCCCTCAGATACTGCAATTACTTGCATTTCAAACAAATGGCACATCTGTGGGGGAAGAAAACAAGCTGAACTCTTTGGTTAGATTGTTTTCTCTTTTAGGGATTCACTCCCCACACATCCCAGTATACATTATATAGGATCGTATGCTTGTGCGTTCTTTTTGAGATAGCTGCTTGAAAACACACATCTTCTTAATTGTTGCTGTATGTTATTTGTAGGAGTGCTCTTTTTATAGTCAATGGTTTTCCCAAGTTACACAAACGGATGCAGGGAAGTACATTCTCATAAAACAGGAACAGTAACCACATGCACACTATCACACCAGCATAATTCTGTGCATTTAAAGCCATCCCTAAGACCATACAGAAGAACTTAACTTTATACATTAAAACCTCTGCACTCACAGAACAGAAGGTATCAAACAGGGGACACTTCTTTTGAATAACAGAGTGGGCAGGCACTCTGTGCATTCTCAAAGCCATATACAGATACCAAAATGACACCACCACAAATGTTTCCATTTCTTGTCTTTAACTATTTATGCCCCCCTTGTGGTATGTGCAAAGTTTGCAATGTATGAATCACAGTAAAAATCATCCCTACTTACCATTTCTGATACAGTTAAGTAACAGACAGGTAGGAACGTGGAAGGGAAATGGGAGAAATCGCTCCCTCTCCCTTTAAACTGCTTTTCAGTCACATTTGCAGTAGGTTTAAGCAGTGCAATTTGGTGGTTTTGCCTTTAGTGTCAGTTTATGTTGCCTTTCTTACTAGACTGTAGTCCAGCTCTGAGCTCTTATCGCTTACTTGGGGAGTTCTGAATGGGCCTATCTAGAGATACAAACTCCTATGTACAAAAGACTTCTTCCTGGCTGTGTGGTTTTCTGCAGAAAGGAATATCACTTCCCCCACCCCGCCAACAGCATTCATAATATAGGAGGAAGGCAAAGCGAAACGCTTTATGTCATTTTTTAGAGCGACCATGTGTTTATTCAGGTGGGTTCAAGAGTGAAATTTTGCCACGTCTCTGATCCTGGAAGGAGATGTTTCTGTGCTGCTGCTTGCTCCTCTGGAGGGAGCTTTCTCGTAGCCACTGAGTTCATTTAGGAATGTGTTTCTACAAAACCTTTTTTTTTTTTTCCCCCCCTCGCATGGTGAGAATTGAAACCAAGAGTGAATTGTGGACTAAGCAAAAATGGGAGACATATCAGCCTACCAACAAACAGGGTTAAAGCATAAAGCACAAAAGAAACCAGGCATTTGACGAAAGTGCGGCTGAGATTTCCCTGTGCGTTTAGCACTGCCTGGGCTGACTGGAAGCGCATAGTTTTGGAACAGCCAGGAAGGGCAGCTGGCAGAGTTCCAGTGCTGGGACACTTATAGCAGCACAGCAGCAACAAGAGCTCATGTTAGGGTTGAAGTCTTTCTTTGATGTAGTCATCTCTCAAGTTTCTTTCTGACATGAAAGGGTACGTTTTATAGATACAAACAGAAGAGTGCATGCGCATATGTGGTTGTGATCCTTGCTCATAGTTTTATATGTACACTTCCATAAGCTATTTCAGATGGGAGGTGGAACTCTATCGCCTACGCATCTGTACACTGAACGGGTTGGTATGGATCTTGGCTTGCAAGGGAAAAGTTTTTAACGTTTCACAAATGCTTAAGACTTTTACCTTCACTCTTCCTAAATATGTGTATATATACCATATAGTTTCTAAAAATATGTGTGTATATATATAAAATAAAGAATATAAATGCATGCACACAGAAGTACATACGTATTTGTCACATGTGGTTGTAAATGAGGAATAAATGCTTTGCAAAGTATCTCTAACAGGGTTTAAAGTTAGTTTTAAAATGGGTGCAGAAAATCACACAATGCATTAGGACACAATTATTGAGCAAGTCCCTGCTGTTTGCTCTAGCTTCCTAATGCCATCAGGAAGATACATTATTGTAATATTGCCTCCTGTGCTGCTAAGCAAATAAGGGACATAAATGCCGTGTAAACGTGGTCAGTGGTGACTCCTGCCCTGTACCCATAGGTTAGCATCAGTAATTGCTGTGAGATTGATCCCACACAGGAGCAACAGAATACTCTTGTGCCTTGTCAGCATCAACAGGGGAAGGGGAAGGGAAAAAATTCTATGCTATTTGCACCAATAATAGATTTTAAAAATAAAATTAACAAAACCATGAAATGTGATGCAGCTAGTGATAAAACTGGGAAGAATTCTATCCATATCACTGTACCATTTTATCTGCTGAGACTGTGGTTTCGGTAGAATTCCTTAGTTTGGGAGTATAGAGGCTGCAGGGAAGTTCATTGACAAAAACTGAGAAACTGAAGGTTTTTTCCAATTACCACCCTTTTCCCCCCTTCCTCTTTTTCCCATCCCTGTTTAGGCTAATAACCTTCCAAAAGCTATTGCAGCAGCTCACACGTTTCTTCTGAAGCATCCAGATGATGAAATGATGCAAAGAAATATGGCCTACTATAAGAGCATACCTGATGCTGAGGAGCATATTAAAGACTTGGAGACAAAACCTTATGAGGTATGCTTTTTATTCAGAGTCTGGTCTTTTGAAACTGTTCTGTTACTTCTCTTATTGGGTGAGATTCAAGGATCTCAGTTCTTACTCTTCTTTCCCTCTTCTTGTCTTCCTCCATCATCTCTGTTCTGCCTTCTTGATGTATTCAGTAATTCTCACCTCTTGTGCTTTTCACTATTCCATAAGTCTCAGTAAATCATAGACAGCGGTATACATGAAAGCTACTATATGCAGATAACTAATGGAGCCAAGCAGGTGCATAGAGTTATTCAAATGCATGAGTGCTGTAGCAGCACAGCTTAAGATAATTTGGACATTTGGTAGTAAGATTCCTTTGAAAATCTCTATTAAAAGCTGTGCTTTAGAATCACGCTGTTCCATCTGTTCA